AAGAAAGCCAGTTCACGCAAAATACTTGATTTGTAATCTAGAGACATTCGCTTAGTCGATTCATAACATTTAAAGTATATCTCAGACTTTTGAACTCTTGACATTCATCGTGATTCTTGTTGTTTGTTATTATTCGTTACTCGATAAGATCTATACAATGTTCGATTCATTCGTTTACAAAAGATAGTTCGTATACAACAAATGTTATCAGATCAAAATTTGTATTGTGAGATTTTTAGTATCCACAAGGAAGGGGATGTAATGTCCTATATCATTATTGATGCATGACCTTTGACATCACACGATATGTTACTATAGTGATGACTCTGTAGCATTATGGGATACCTGAACGGCATGGCCGCCACCAGTTGTCAATAAATATACGTCTATCCAAAACAGAGCTTCTCGAGTTGATTTATCAATACAGACGTTACATATTCCTATAGGGTTTTGCCATTGTCCTGACATCCAGATGCGAAAGGGTGAAGAGTGAGTTGTGCGCATTCTATGACGACCCCATGCCATTCTCCAAGATTCAAGCTTCTGGTTTATTTTTTTCATGTAAACATAATGAAGTGCAGCGATATGATGCTCATCAAGTGGATCGAGGAGGTTATTTTCTTCCAGGAAGTAAAATATTTGAGAGTAAAGGCTGAGCACTCCTTCATACACATCCCTCCACAGGCGTTCAATACGCTGGTTGTGAACACTCCTTCCAGGTATCATGCTCCCATGATTTTCCCCACTTTTTGAAATCATGTAATCAGCTATATGAACATTTTCCAAGCCCATATTTGATCTGACACGGCTAGGCAGCCCATAGTTTTCAACACCTGACATGAAACATTTAAACAGTGTTGAAGCTTGGTTGTTGTCTGTGCATGCTAATGTAATGGGTAGTCTACTGAAACCATCAATGCATCCAAATATGAGCATGTGCCAGCGTATTAATTTGTGGTTTGTGTCAACATGCCACAAGTGGTTAGGGCCCATGACATTGTTATGCGTCTTTGTAAACGCCCTCTTCTCCTTGCATTAACACCTTCAGAGTCAACGCGTTGGATGCTATTGCGTAATCTTGTTCGCTGAACTTTTATTTCCATTCCATGTAACAGTTCTTTCAACAATTTTTCCCCACAATAAGGAAAATAAGTTGTTAGCTTCTGTACATGTGCATCCAAGTCTTCATTCGTTATATCAGAAAAATCTACCTTGCTTAGACCATACGTACGCATTCTCCTGTACTCTCAGAAACAGATAGAATTGATGATATTTCTTTAACTGTAAATTCTTGATCAATAAAACTTTCCAATACTATATATGGGATGAAAATTCAGGAACTCTGCTGCTGTCAGAATAAGTTTTAACTGGTGCAGTTCTACCATGGGTGATGCAAGCCATGCGTATGGACATCGTGTCACTTCTGCTCTGAACTCCTAGTTTTTCTAAATCCACTGTTGTAAGTTTACATACTAAATCAGAAGAAATTCTTTCTCTTTCAAAACACTCACTCAGATTTCCAAGGTTCAGATGTTTCAAAACGGTTGACATTTCCGAATTCATGATTCTAGATTTCCAATACGTCCACTTAACACATGGCATGCATGCATGCATGCATTCTGGGATATAATTCAGAAGAATAATCATAATTTGTTTTGTACATTTTAAAATGAATGTTTAATCAGCACATAATAACATTTGATCAGCACATAATAACGTTTGATCAGAATACAATAACGTTTTATCAGCACATAATGACGTTTGATCAGAATATAATAACATTTGATCAGCACATAATGACGTTTGATCAGAATATAATGACGTTTGATCAGAATATAATAACGTTTGATCAGCACATAATGACGTTTGATCAGAATATAATAACATTTGATCAAAATATAACAACGTTTGATCAGAAAAAAATAACGTTTGATCAGCACATAATGACGTTTGATCAGAATATAATGACGTTTGATCAGAATATAATAACGTTTGATCAGAATATAATGTCGTTTGATCAGAATATAATAATGTTTGATCAGCACATAATAACGTTTGATCAGCACATAATAACGTTCGATCAGAATATAATAACGTTTGATCAGCACACAATGACGTTTGATCAGAATAAAATAACGTTTGATCAGAATATAATAACGTTTGGTCAGAATATAATAACGTTTGATTAGAATATAATGACGTTTGATCAGAATATAATAACGTTTGATCAGAATATAATAACGTTTGATCAGAATATAATAACGTTTGATCAGAATACAATAACATTAGATCAGAATATAATAACGTTTGATCAGAATACAATAACGTTTGATCAGCACATAATAACGTTTGATCAGAATATAATAACGTTTGATCAGCACATAATAACATTTGATCAGAAATTAATAATGTTTGATCAGAATATAATAACATTTGATCAGAGTATAATAACGTTTGATCAGAATATAATAACGTTTGATCAGAATATAATAACGTTAGATCAGAATATAATAAAGTTTTATCAGAATATCATGAAAGGCAAGTGATCAGAATATAATAGTTATAGTGCATCTAAGACAGTTACGGCTATCCATAAATTATCCTATTGAACATATTATAGTGTTGAACTTCGTTGTTTTAGATATGTTGTGTGAACTGTTTAGCTCTACACGGCGAAAAGCAGCAGAGTGATCGGACGTTCATTTTACAACAGTTTCTAGATGATAACATACAAGTGTTAGTATGTACTGGTTTAGTTGGTAGAGGTATTGACTTCCCTAAAGTGAAGTTGGTCATTAAATTGCATGCCAAGTAGAATTGAACAGTATGTACACCAGGTAAGTGTGATCTTTGATATTGATTGAGGGTGAGTGTTTCTGGTATTATAGT